TTGTAATACATTCAGAACTAGTGTTTTAGCTTCTGTTCACACACAAACAAGTATTATTCAGTACGAGACCCCTCCTGCCCAACACACCGTGTCTCTCAGGTATTTTGCTTGATAATCAAAGCTTGGTGTCCGGCAGCTTTCTTTCTTATTCAGAGCTCTCTTCCCTCCCTCTCTACTAAAGACTTCTGTCATCTGAGTAATGACCTTTATCCTCTCTGCCTCCTATGTTATAGTAGCTTTCTAACTGGCTTTTCTTACTCCAAACATCGCAGGCCAATAAGGTGAAACTGACTTCTGCAGTTTTGTTAATGGCTTCTTTGTACTCAAGTATTTCTGTGAATGATTCATGAATTTATAATATCACCTAGCATCCTGAATTTCATATTCTTGCCTCTCAGTCTATCTCTCTGACATCACCTTTGATTGTCTCTATATGAACCCTTACCTCCACTTAAAGTGGAATTTTTATTTTTGCCTGTGCTCGTTTATTTAAAGCTGCCTACCCGACTGGAAATTGTGATCTCTGTTTCCTTCACCTATGGAATCCTCAAGCTCCCATCTCTAAACACACATCCTCCACGAAATCTTCCCAGAGTTATCCTCCCTCTCTTAACTTTTATAATGAATCCTCATATCTGACTCAATTGTGCATTCTTTGAGAGTTCATCTTTACATTCCCTCTTGTATCCAGAACAGTACTTTGTACATAGAACGTGCTGCATAAATGTTTGAATTAGGTTACCTCATTTCCAAGATGCAAACACAAAAAGGCAGAACTGACCCTACCGTAACTAGAGCAACATGGCCAACAGTGTTTGGAAACTGCATTCGGAATGTCTTTGATACAGACTTAGTAATGGCTTTAGTAACTGTACAGAGGCTTGCCAAGGCCTCCTTAGCAGTTAAAAAACAGCAAAGAATGACCAAAAAAAAAAAATAATACCAAGCATGTCTAGGCTTGTACAGTATGATAATGAGAAGCTGAATAAATTTGATGAATGTAAAGAAAAATCGCTTGGTTAGAAATTATGAAAATAATTTTCTAGTGTTTCTAATGTTTCTAGTGAGATAAATGCTAAGTCATTGTGTCACTTCAACCCTAGTGTTAAGACCAATGAAATAATTTTGAGTGTGGTATCTTACGGGCAATTTTGCAAGATTGAAAATAGGTACTGGTATAGAACTTTGATAATTTTATGTATGTATTTACTCATTTGTCACGTTTATTTAGTTACTGGTTATTAATTTCAATTTTACTAAAAAATCTTATCTAAAGCTCTTCGTTTGTATAATCAAAGTACAGTATGTATTTTCTCACAACATATTGACTTGGAATACAATTCCTATTTACCAATATGGGCCCCTTGGTGTGTGAGTACTATCCACTCTTCTTTCTGATGCTGAATCTTTGGCAAGAATGCAGCCCTCAATTTTGTTCTTGTTCTTAAGGAAGAATATAGTCTATTTTATGACGATATATTAATGCTAGAACATGGGAGCACAAATGGAAAAAAATGATTGCCTCTATATTTACACACATTTACTGTGCTTTGAACTGAAGTTGATCAGTTTCAAAAACTCTTAATGAAATCTGTCTTTAACTTAAAATGTATCCAACAAATTGTCTAACTCTTACTTACACCAAAACTTTATATTTAGTTAGATTTACTGGAGAAATTTTCCCCTTCCTTACTGCATTCTCAGGTAATCTATGCACTTTTTTCTTTTTCTTGGAAACCACTTGGCATTATAGGAATTACTTGCAAGTGAGCCTAATTTGGTCCATGCAATTCAAGGATGAATAAACTATTACCATAAATCCAGGAGAATAAAATTATGTCCATCACACTTCCCGTTCTCAGAACTTCTAGATCCTGATCAGGTATTTAGAGAAAGAGTCTATATATAAATTAACATTTTTTCAACTTGCTGCTAAATCCTTCTGCTCTAGTTATTCTTCCCATCCTTTATATCCACTTTTTTGGACTGTTGGTGTTAAAAACATTTAAGCCATCGAGGAAATTCAAGTCCCAG